GAGGGAGATAGAAACATCAATGATGAGAGAGAATCATTGATTGGCTGCCTCTTGCATGCCCCCTACTGGGGATCCAGCCTACAACCCAGGCATGTGCCCTTGGCTGGAATCTAACCCAGACCCTTCAGTCTGCAGGCCGATGCTCTATCCACTGAGCCAAACCAGCTAGGGCGATAATTTTTTTATTGTGGAAAAACATACATAGCATATACCATTGGGACCATTTAAAATTTTTAAAAAAGATTTTTTTATTGACTTTTAGAGAGAGAGGAGGTGTGTGTGTGTGGGGGGGGTGTGGAGAGAGAGACATTGATGTGAGAATGCAACATCGATCGGCTGCCTCTTGCACACCCCTACTGGGGATCGAACAGGCCCTGACCCAGCAACCCCACTGCCCTGACCAGGAATCGAACAGGCGACCTTTCAGTGCACTGGACAATGCCAACCACAGCCACACTGGCCAGGACTGGAACATTTTTAAGTGCACAGTTCTGGGGCACTAAGTACCCTCACATTGTTGTACAACCATCACCAAAATCCGTCTCCAGGACATTTTTGTCTTCTCCAACTTAAACTCTGGATTCATCCAACAATAACATCTCATTCTCCTCTCCCCCAGCTCTTGGAAACAATTATCCTACTTTAAAAAGAGAAAAAAAAATACATATATAGAGATTGATTTCAGAGAGGAAAGGAGAGAGAAACATCAATGATGAGAGAGAATCATTGAGCGGCTGCCTCCTGCACACCCCCTACTGGAGATCAAGCCTGCAACCCAGGCATGTGCCCTGACCTGACGGGGAATTGAACCGTGACCTGGTTCACAGGTTGATGCTCAACCACTGAACCATGCTGGCTGGACTCATTTTACTTTCTGTGTCTATGAATTTCACTGCCCTAGGGACTTTAATAAGTGCAATCTCATGGCATTTGTCCTTCTGTGACTGCCTTACTTTATTTAGTTTAATTTCTTGAGGAATTACCTCCATGTTCACCCACATTATAGCATGTGTCAAAGTTTCCTTCCTTTTCAGAGTGAATAGATGCCCCACTGTGTGCTTAGGCCTCCTTTGGTTCATCCATTCATCTGTCAGCACACACTTGGCTGCTTCCACCGTTTGCCTTTGTGAATAGCACTGCTGTGAGCAGTGGTGGACAGATAACTGTTTCCGGCTTTCAGTTCTTGGGGTTATACCTAGAAGTGGGGTGGCTGGGTCAGGGGGTGGATCTGTGCTTCCTTTTTAGGGGAGTCGCTGTGCTGTTACCACAGTGGCCATACCATTTTGTGTTCCCACCTGCAGTGCACAGGCGCCCAATTTCCCCACATCCTCACTAACCCTGTGAGTTTAGATTTTTTTTCTTCTTGTAACAGTCAATCCTACTGGGTGTGAAGAGATGGCTCATTGTGGTTTTGATTTGCATTTCCTAATGAGGAGTGATGTTGAGCATCTTACACATATTCTTGGGAGAAATATCAGTTCTTCTTGCCCATTTCTTAATGAGGTTTTTTGGGTTGAGTTGTAGGAGTTCTTTACGTATTCCATATACCAACTCCCTATCTGATGCGTGATTTGCACACATCTTCTCCCATTCCTTAGGTTGCTTTTTTACTGTGTTGATAGTTTCCTTTGATGCACAAAAGTTTTTAATTTTGATGAAGTCCATCATATTTAATTTTCTTTTGTTGCCTGTGGATTTAGTATCCTGTTCAAGCAATCATTGCTGAACCCAATGACATGCTGCCCTCCTGTTTTCTTCTAAGTTTTAAAGTTTCAACTCTTGTGTTGAGGCCTTTGATTGAATTCGAGTTAATTTTTACATATTGTGTGAGATAAGTTCCCAGCTTCACTTATTTTTGGGGCGGGGGGGCTGTGGATATCCAGTTTTCCGAATACGAGTTGTTAAACCTCATTTTAACATGCGGAAGGAGGTGCGTAGAGTTCTGTCTGACCGGGTTGGCTCTGGGCTGGTTCCTGGAGATCTGCAGGAGCGGGGCCAGGTGAGGCGGGAGGAAAGAGAATGAGGGGAGGGGAGAAACACGGTATTCAGCGTGCGTCTTCATCCCCTGCCTCCGCGTCTGTATGCACTGTGTACCGGAGGCTGAGGGGCTGACACTTCCTGCTGGTCTTCAGTTTGTGGTGTTGGGTGCGTGCGTGTGTGTGTGTGTGTGTGTACACCTGTTTCAGCCCCTTGTCGTGGGGAGCAGCAGGCTTCCCCCCTTCACCGGACACCCTGCGGGGGTGTTTTGAAGAAAGGTGACATGACAGATGGCTTCCCCTCCAGCGTGCCCCTAACTCGCCACAGGTTCCTGCCTGACACCGGCGCCCGTGCACAGTTCGGTGGGTGCAGCTGTGGGCCGGAGGGTTGCAGGCGGATCCCGTGTCTCTTTCCGGCCGATTCCAGAGGGACCCAGGTGCTTCTGTAACTGCCTGTGCGCAGGAAGCTCCCACAGCCGCCCCCTGCGTCTCATTTCCATCCGTTGCTGCCCTCTGCGTTCCAGGGCTGGCGACTGGCCTCAGGTTCAGGTTCGGGGTCAGCAGCCGTTGGGTTGTTGCCCTCTGCTGTCCCTCCGTTGTTCTGGTTGGGTCTTGGGCAGAAAAGGAGAAAAACAGGCGAGAGGGTCACTTGGGAGAAGAAAATGTAGGGGAATTTATTATAAATTTCTTTTTATTTTATTTTATTTATTTTATTTTAATATTTTATTTTATTTTTTAATCCTCACCCTAGGATACTTTTTCCATTGATCTTTAGAAAGAGAGTGGACGGGAGAGAGGGGGAGAGAGAGAGAAACATCGACATGAGAGAGACACACAGTTTGCCTCCTGCAGGAGCCCTGACTGGGGCTGGGGATGGAACCTACAACTGAGATACATGCCCTTGACCGGGAATCGAACCAGAGACCCTGTGGGCCAACTCTAACCACTGAACAAACCAGCCAGGGCGAATTTATTGTAAATATCCGCAGGCGAAAGTTTTTTGTAAATATAACAGAAACACATTACAAGATTAATCAATTTAACTACATCAACAAAAGTTTTCTCCAGGAAACATCACTTTAAAGTAAAAAGACAGCCCAACCGGCATGGTTCAGTGGTTGAGTGTCGACCTATGAACCAGGAGGTCACGGTTCAATTCCCAGTCAGGAAACATGCCCGGGTTGTGGGCTCTATCCCCAGTGTGGGGCATGCAGTAGGCAGCTGATCAAAGATTCTCATCATTGATGTTTCTATCTCTCTCTCCCTCTCCCTCTCTGGTCAATAAAAAATATATTAAAAGTAAAAATTAACTAAAACAATTAAAAAAAATAAAGTGAAAAGACAGTTAACTGGAAAAAACATTTGTGATATAAATGAGAAATGGCCAGTTTTCTTGACATATAAAGAGCTTTTATAAATCAATAAGAAAACACCAATAACCAGAAAAAGAAAAGCAGAAAGCTTTTCAGCATATAAACATGTTTATCCTCACTTATAATCAGCAAATTTAACAGATAGCATTAAGTTAGCTATCATTAAGGGTACGGGGAAATGGGTGTATGGAAGTCATTGATGATGGGGGCTATCTGGGCTTGTGTATGGAAAGTTTAAAAAAATGCAGATTCTTTGCCTTAGCAAATCTCCTAACGTGTATCCTACAGGTATATACATATACCATGTCTAAAGCTTGTGTTAGAAAAGTGAGGCACAATTTAGATGTCCGTTGGTGGAGGAGTAGTGGGCTTCCTTCATATGAGGAATACTATACAGCTCTGAAAAAGGAGAGGTTCTTGTCTGTACTGATGGGATGATCTTCAAGCACATGAGTGTAATGAGGTAGGGGTAGCACTGCGTTAGCGTCTGTGCTTGAGAAGTGTGTGCTGCCCATGTTGTGATGCAGTGACCGCCTCTGCAGGGATGTGCGTGAAACAGAAAACAGGCTGCCAAGGAGGCAGACAGATGGTTGGGGTAAGTTGGGAGAGAGACAGACTCTGTATTCTGTACCTTCGCAGTTGTGTGCCACAGCGGCATTGTACTCAGTGCAGCCTCATCTTGGAGATGTCCACTGAGGAGGGAATCGTTTTTATTGAATATGTATCTTTGTTAGGCGCTGTCTGGTGTATGTTAGCCTACCTGTGGGATGAAGGGCCACTAGGACTCACAGCTGACCCGACAGTAATGACCTGAGAGGTTGAGTGACCTGAGACAGGACCGCTGTGGGTGCAGTGGACGGGTCAGGCCCAGCCCTGTGTGTCAGCGGGATTCTAAAGGACCCAGGTTTCGCCTCTTAGAACTTTGAGGCAATTGGATGGTTTTCATCCATTTTGCTTTTTTTTTTTTAATCTGTCTTGCCCAGAAGTTTAATGGGCATTTCTATCAAAACACAAAACGGCACTTTTGCACAATTGTTACTCATTTTGAAGACCCTGGAGCACATCGCTGGATCTAGAAACTTCTTAGTCACCAAGGAAACAGTGACCGAAGCCCAGGGCTACAGGTGAGGTGCAGGTGAAGTCTTGAACAATCGGGGGAGTCTGGGGCCTGTACGCTAATTATTAAGCAGGATATTTGATGAAGTGGACACACCTGTGTGCCAATAGCAGATTACTGTGAGCAAACAGAAAGCACCATTAAAAGGAAATGACACACCCTCCTGGCATATAGCTTCTGGAAGAAGAAAAATATTGTGTGTGGACATATGCAGACATAGACGTTGACGAAAGTGCTCTGCGGTTAGAAAAGAGAAACGCACCCGCTAAACAATGATGGTGTCTTCGTTCCCTGGGGCTCCAGTAACATGGCCGCACACTTGGAGGCTAAAACAACAGACTTACTTACTCTCTTCTGGTTCTGGACCCCGCAGTCCGAAACCTCGGAGTTCAGCTCAGAGGCAGCAGCTCTGAAGGACGGGTCCTCTTGCCGTCTCTGCCCTGCTGGTGGCGTCCTTGGTGAGGGAGGGTCTCTCCAGTCTCTGCCTCCTCTCGCGTGACCCTTCCCCGTCTCTGTGTCTCCTCCTCGTCTGTTTCTTTAAGGACACCTGTCATGGGGTTTAGCCCCGCCCCCAATCGAGGATGATTTCCCCTCGGGATCCTTTACCTGAATTACATCTGCACAGGCCTTTGTTCAAAATGAGGTCCCATTCGGAGGTCCTGGGGGTTAGGGCTTGTTCGTCTCTTCTTGGGGCCACAGTTTCACCCATGACAGTCTGTTATTTGGCCCCAAATTTATGTCTGCCCCATGAGCAAAATACATCCACTCCACATCGATTCATTATTAACAGTGGTGTGTGAGAGGCCGAATTTCAGCAAAGACAGATTTGCAGATGGTCATTCATCTTTTTTTTAAAGATCAATCTTTGGAGGGAATTGTAGATTCACATACAATTGTAAGAAATAATGGAACGAACCTATGTGTCATTTACTCAGTTTCCCCAAAACACAGCCAGGGTACTGACACCGATAAATGAAAACAGACATTGCCTCGTCGCGGAGCCCTCGTCCTCTGTCGGCCACCCTGTCTTCTCTACCCCTTCTATTCCTCATCGTCCTGGATTTAATTTTATATATTTATATATAGATGTTTTTAATCCTCACCTGAGGATATGTTTTTTATTGATTTTTTTTTTTTTTTAAAGAGAGACAGGGGAAGGGAGAGAAAGAGTGAAGTGAGAGAAACGTTGATGTGAGAGAAACATTGACCGGCTGCCTCCCTGAAGGTGCACAGGATGAGCCCCAACCACATTTCTTCTGTTTTCACTTGAATTTCCCTGAAGGCTAGTGATGCTCATCTTTTCATGTGCTTGTTTGCCGTCTGTGTCCCTTGGGTGAAGTGCCTCTTCTTGGCTGTTGCTCTAGTTCTAATACGTTGTTTGTCTTCTTACTGCCGAGTTTGAAATTCTTTACATGTTTTGGAGCAGCAGTCCCTGGTGTGATGGCCGCTGGGGAGCGTTTCCTCCCGGCCTGGCCTGCCTCCTCGGGGCGAGCGTCTCACTGGGTTTACTGCTGATGAAGCGCCGTGTCCCCACTTCCCCTGTGTGGATTGTGCTTTTGGTGTCAATGCTACAAAAATCTTCGCCAAACACTAGACCCTGAAGACCTTCTTCGATGTTTTTCTTAAAAGGTTTTGTAGTTTTACGTTTTACATGAGCCCGTGTTCCCTTTGGAGTTGATTTCTCTGGAAGGTGAGAGGTTTAGCTCAGGCTCACGTCTTGGCCCCTGGATGGCTAGTTGCTCCAGCTTCGTCTCTGGAAAAGGCCATCATACTCCCCGCTCGGAGTGAGTTGCACTTGCGTTCTGTCACACCAGCTGCACATATTTGTGTGGGTCCAAAACAGAAGTTCAGCCTTACTCCTGGGTGCTGCTTCCGTTTCCCGGGTTAGCCAGAGACACTCACCACGTTCACAGGACGATTCTGAACTGCTTCCCACGCAGGGGGCCCTCATCATTCACGAGGACATTCGGTGCGGCACACACCATCCTCTCCAGAGGAAGGTGGTCTGTGTTGCTTTTGTTTATTTTTTATCTCAGGGGAGTTTGGGGTTAGGGAGCGCTGGTGAATGATGGGAGGGAGCCACTCGAGGAGACTGAGTCCGCTGATAGAGGAGCTGAGGCCCTTTCCGCAGATGCTGGAGGGGAAGCGGTGATTTGCGTTTTGAGGGGCAGGAGAAGGGAAGTGTGTGCTCGGTGCGTGCTCTGTTCCCTCCCCCACTGCTCTGTAGTTAGACGGTGCTGGGGAGCCCCAGGGAGGAAATAATAAAAACCTCTTAACCAGGTCGTCGGGCTTCCGGCTTGCAGTCTGGTTAAGGATCGCTGGACAGGCAGTGTAACTCAGTCTGCGTGAGAGCAAAGCCCTGCTGAGCTGCCCAGTCCACACTCTGTGGCCATCGTGGTGGCCCTCGACGTGGGGCGGCTGAGCAGAGGGTCCAGTGGCACCCGTGCTCTCCTTCATCCTTTCCGTGTTAAACGCAGGGAAGTCAGCTTCCTTCTGGTGCCTCCCCCAGGCCTCTGGGTCGTGGCCATCATTCCTGTAATAGACACGCTGTCCTTGCTCGGGAGCGAGACTGAGGCAGGTGGTGGCTTTTGGTGTGCCGCGGCCACGGGGTCTCTTCCTGGGACAAAGCACTCAGTTTTCTGGGCCCTACCATGGGCCTGCCTCCTGACCCTCAGTGAAAGGGGAAGGGAATAGACCCCCTCGTGCACCCGCTGCCTCATGCAGTGAGAGAGGGCCTCACAGCAGCAAGTTCAGCACAGCCGGCCCTCCGCCTCGGTGCGGTCAGAAAGCGTGTGTGCACGCATGCATGTGTATGTGTGTGCGCATGCATGTGTGTGTGTGGTGCCCTCTGTGTCTGTCCTCTGAGGAACACAGAGAAGCATCCACAGATTCCGCACTCCGGCTCAGAATCAGCGCCGGGAGGCGGAGATCCGTGTTTTGCACGGATTGATTTTAATCCGGTTTAAGCGATGTCACCTCCAGCGCGAGCAGCCCTGCCCTGTGCTGCCGTGGCTTGGTGGTAGCTGTCAGCCAGGCTGTGCACGTGCCTTGAGCTTGGCTTCCCAAGAG